GTCTGTGACACTGTCTACTGAAGTGGCCCAGCTTTCCACAGTGTTCTTCCCAGATCTTAAAGAGTAAATAGTAGCTATGGACAAACAGACACTGCCCAAGAATTTAATTACAGGAAGTTGAAATGGTAGACTTCTAAATCTTCTATATGCCAGGACAGGTTTTATGTTTTGATCATGGGAAATTATTAAAGATGTGAAGAATGTGGATTTTGATGCTTCCAATGGGACAAATTTTAGGCAAAGGATGAGGAATTCATATTTGGAGAAGTGCAGGTTTTGTGACCATGCCTGTTGTATAGCTTCTACTCAAAAAGAACTTCATGAAATGCAGAGAGTAAATCTTAAAGATTTGTGACAGCACTGTGACACCCTTCTAGTGACCTACGAGATCTTCCAAGGTGATGAGAAAATTAGTTCTTTGCAAGTTTACCCTTCATATGTGATCACTGAGTCAGGATCAGTGGTTTCCAATAAACATACTAATAAAACATGAAATGTTAATACATTTTTGGGGAAAAATATTCTTCCATGGTTACTCCTGTGGTGCTCATTCCATTGACCATGCTGTGTGAGTGGTAAAGTCCAGTCCAGAATGTTCTTTCTAAGGGAATGTGTAGAGCGGAGATTACTTTCTGATCCTAGCCTTACAGATGTCTGTCCTGTATGTGTGTAGCTGAGGGTCAAGCAGGCCGGAGTGAACATCCAGAAGTATGTCCCAGGACTCCAAAGGCAGCAGGCTCGCTTAGACGAGTATTTCTCCATCATTCATCCCCAAGTTACCTTCAACATCTTCAGCATCTGCAAATTTATCAACAGTCAATTTGTCCTGAAGACACGAAGAGAAATGATGCCAGAAGCATGGAAAACAAAGCCCGCGCTCAAACTCAGAGGTAGGAAGCTCCCTTTTCCTTGTTCTTTACCTGCGTGGGAGACTTTCCATTTGGCCAAACCTGTAAATAATGTGCACTAATTCCTTCACTACTTCCTTATCCCAACTTCTTGCTTATTCATAAACATGCAGAGTTGTATCATTCTGGTCTGTCTCTAAAAAATTTCTCAAAAGCATGTGCTTCTGTTGGTATTCATGACATGCCTGTCTTTTAGCTAACAAGGCGCATGGCTTCTGTGACTGGCTGCTAATGGGACATGCTTTTGGGGCTTTGATTAGACTGATGGTTACATATTGGGGGCAACAACTCAGGCAAAGACGTGGGATGTATCTGAGGCCAAGATGGCACGCTGTGGAAACACCAAGCGATGGTAAACCAGTGTGCCAAAGCAGAACTGTGCTGTATAGAATTTTCAGTTCAGAAGCTGAGTTTTCAGAAACAGAGTGCCAGACCCTTCATCATGGCACTACTGGGTGGGTTTGAACTATTTACCCTTTGGTTAATTAACCAAAACACACAGCTATCCCATTGATCCTGAGTCATGGCGACCCTCTATTGGGTTTCTACAGCTGTAAATCTTTATGGGAGGAGATTCGTTTTTCTCTCAGAAAGGGGCAGTTGAATTTGAACTCCTGACCCTCTAATTAAGAGTGCAACAGGTGTGCAACAATGAATGAATGGAAATCCAAAGTCTCTATAAATTTGCATCGAAATTAATAATTTTTTTTTAAGTGCAACAGGTAATAAACACAAGTAACACAATAGAACTATTTCCTAGCTGAGGACAAACCATTTGCACTGTACCGGGCCTTTACACACTGTCGTTGTTACTGCTGTGTGCCGTCCAGCCAGAGTCAACTCATAGCTGCTCCTCCAGCGAGTTTTCGAGGCTGTAAATGGCACAGGAGGAGATTGTCCATCCACCTCTGGTGGATTGAGCCATGTGCCTCTGATACTAGCATTATCTAGAGCTGCCTGGCAGCATTCCCTCCTGCTGACTTACTTTCCTGTTGCCTCTTGCTCGGGGCTGGCCAGGCCAGATGGTCTGGATGGAGGCCACGCGGTGCATGGTGTACATGTGCTCCCCAAAGCTGCGCAGCCTGGAGGAGCTGGAGGAGCGCCAGATGCACCTCTCTGACATCGCACCCCACGACACCACGAGGGACCTCGTCCTCCTGAACCAGCAGCGGCTGGCCGAGATCGAGCTGTCCAACCAGCTGGAGAGGAAGAAGGAGGAGCTGCGGGTCCTCTCCAAGCACCTGGCCATAGAAAAGAAGAAAACTGAGACCTTGCTCTACGCCATGCTGCCCCAACACGTGGCCAACCAGCTGAAGGAGGGCCAGAGAGTGGCTGCGGGTACGTGGGCCCTCCTCTCCCAGGGCGGTGATCCCTAGTGGTTAGGGACGTGGGCGGTGGATCTGAGTTTTTGCTGTTGCCTGCTGGCTCATGCCTGTGTATTCTGCACTTTCCTCTAAACCGAAAATGATAAAAAGAATACAGGAGTATGTGATTGAAGCAAAAAGGCCCATTAACCGCAGATACATACATTAGCTTCTCTTAGGATTTAAGAAGGCGGACTTCTTAAATGGCACAGTGATTAACATATTAGACTGTTAAATATGAGGTGGTGGTTGTTAGTTGCCATCGAGTCAAGCACAACACATGGCGACCTTGTGAACAAAAGATCTGAACCCAAGATCTATCCTGTGCCGTCTTCATACTTCCTGACACCCAGGAGCCAACTGCAGCAATCACCATGTCAATCCACCTGGTTGAGGGTCTTCCTCTCCTTCACTGACCCTCCACCCTTCCCAGCATCATGTCCCTCTCCAAGGAATAGTCCCTCCTAGCAACATGCCCAAAGTATGTGAGGCGAAGCCTTGGTATTCTTTTATTATTATTATTATTATTGTTGTTGTTGTTGTTATTATTCTTTTGTGTGTGTGTAGCATTGAATCGGATCTGACTGGTACAGGAGGCAATTGCCCCTCCTTCTCCAGCAGAGCATCTGGTGGATTTGAACCGCATACCTCTGGGATTGTAGTGCAGCTTCTTGCCACTAGACCACCAGAGCTCCCTGAAGCCTCATCATTCTTAAGGTGGGCAATTTAAATGCATTAGCTCTTTCCAGGGAGAGAGCTGAGCCATCTCCCATCAAGAATTATGGCCTCAGAAAGTGAAGAGGTGGCTCAGAGCCTGAACCAATCCAACAGCAGCAAGCCTGCTGTTTGCTTGTTTAAAGGATGTTTGCTGATGTGATGCAGGGGCACTCAGCTGCTCCCCAACCAGCTGTGGGTCCTGTGCCTGTGAAGGTTGCTGTTGTTTCTGTCAGGTGGTGTGGAGTTGGTTCAGAGACTCCAGCTACAGCAGAGCAAAATGCAGCTTGGTCCGTGGCCACGCCCACCGTGGCCACTGCCTTTGGTCACTGCGTGTCACCTTGTGCTCTTTAGCACGCAGCACAGTGCAGGCCTGTTGAAGGGTGCCACACTTGTGTTGGGTCCTGAGGCTAAATTTCAGCATGCTAAAGAAAGACGGGCATTCAAAACAAGGAACGTGAGAATAAATACCGCAGTGTACAGTCCTAGGTCCGGGGGGCGTGTGCGGAAGTGGGGTCCGCTGAGCTGGACAGGTAGGTAGACACGCATGAGTTATAGGGGTGGATTTCAGGTATCATGAAAAAGGGAATTCTTTGATTTGTCAGACAGTGGGGGTTCACCGTAGCCTCTCCTTCTTACAATGGGGCTGACAAGATTAGTTTAATAATTCTGGTTCTGTTTATAATGTAGCAAGGATGTTAGAACGGGCCAGACAGAAAGCCCCTTTCCATTTCAACGGAGCAAGCATGGTGCCCTGCATGAGGCAGCTATGTCATAGCTGAAAAGATGGGGAAGGTAGGAGAGAGGGGCCAGTGAAAAGGAAGGGAGGATGGTCAGGCCAGGTACTAGCTACTCCCTCTGAGATGCCCGTGAGGAATACAGGAGGCCAGCGTGGTTGGAGGAGAGGGAGGGAGAGGGCTGGGGTAGGGGCAGAGGGCAGAAGGGCCACATCCTGTTGGTCCTGCAGACCTGGAGGACTGGGAGGGAGCTCTGACCTGTAGAGCCCCTGCCTCCTATAAGAAATGATGAGGAGACAATGGTTCAATGGTAGAATTCTCTCCGTTTGTGCTAAAGACGCGGATTTGATCCCCAGCCACAAGCCTCAGGGAGATACCACCTATCATCACAGGCTGAATCCTGCTGTGACGCTGGGGAGATGTTGGGGAAATGCTTAAACTAAGATAGCGTAGGAAAAGTCCTGGCCATCTATTTATGATAACCAGTCAATGAAAACCCTAAGAATAACAACAGCTTAATCACCAAACAGACATGGGGATGGCACAGGACGGGCAACACTTTGTTTAGTTTTGCACAGAGTTCCCATGAGCTAGGGGTCAACTTCAAGGCAGGTAACAAGAATAACGTAAGTGGAAGGCAAGTTAAGGGGACATTTCAAAATGTGAAGATTTGATAGCCTTATAGCCATGAAAGATAGAGGACTCCACGATACCATGCAATCAGTCTCTACCAGCCCAGACCCTCGGCTCCTGCTGTCCAGCCTCTGCGTGGCCATCCTGCTGGGGACCTCCTCAGAGTCAGTGCCACCCTGACCCCTCATGTCTTATCTCACTGTGATTATATATTTACTCTTCTGACTTCTTCACACTAGTCCCCTGCTCCCTCCTCCTGTCTGTCCATGGATGTGATCCTTCTAGCCTGATACTGTATCTCATGCTAGGAACTTGATAAGCACTTTCCCTCAGGACCGTTTGCTTTCTGAGAGCAGGTGAATCCAGAATTCATAAGCATATCTTTCTGCATCCTTGACTGTGAGTAATACCTGGTTTCTGTTGCAGGAGAATTTGAAACCTGCACAATTCTTTTCAGCGATGTGGTGACCTTCACGAACATCTGTGCTGCCTGTGAACCGATTCATATAGTGAATATGCTGAATTTCATGTACTCAAAATTTGACCGATTAACCAGTGTACACAATGTCTACAAAGTAAGTGTTTATACTGTGAGTAGAACTCCAATGTGCTCAGGCAAGGCAGACCTTTGGTGTAAGTCTTCCTGTGGCCCTGCCTTCATGATCTGGGCTTGGGTGTGTATGTTTATCAGGTCCCTTCAGGTAAATGAAGTCCACGTACCATATATGTATCCTGCAACAGAGAACAGAACTTTGGGTGAGACAGACCATGAAGGCACTTGGCTGCTAACAGAAGGTCAGAAATTTGGATCCACCTGAGACATCTTGATCTCTGATTCACTGTGGGGAGTTGCACTGGTGACCCCAAAGCTATGCCTCTTTGGAGGTCTTGCTCCATCAGCAGTTTCTTGTAAGAAAGGTGAACTTTCACCTTTTATGCAATTTACAGCCTGGGAAACCCCGTGCAGGGCCAACTCTGAGTTGGTTCCGACTCTATAGCAATGAATCGAGGGTTTTCTTGACAGTTCCTTGAAAGAAAGTCCTGTTTGACCTAATTCCAAACAATTGGCCATTGAAAACCTGATGGAGTATAATTCTACTTTGGAACAAATGGAGTTGCCCTAAGTTGGAGTCAGCTTGATGGTAGTGGGCTGATATCTTTATAATGGATATAATATAGATAGGTATTGATATAAAAGAGATATTGATATAGAATTGACACCCACACACCCACACACACACACCCCCCCCGTAAGGAGCCCTGGTGGTTAAATGGTGGTGGTGTCCTGCTAGCTGAAAGGTCAGCAGTTGGAATCTACCAGCTGCTCTAAGAATAAGAAGATCAACTGTCCCACCCTGTAAAAATTTACAGCCTTGACAATCCACTTCTTATTGTGTACTTTCAAGCTGGAGCTTGACTCTCCAATGGATTCCCCAAAAACACAGGAAAGATTTGCTATGAATCAGCGACATTAGGGAGCTCTGGTGGCTGAATGGTGGCAACCCAAAGGCACCCTCTTCACATCCAACAGCTGTTCCGTGAGGGAAGGGGGCTGTCTCCTCTGGTGCATCTTACAGCCTGCCTCTAAAAACCTGCTGGAGGGTGAGCTATGAGTTGGTTCTGACTTGACAACACACAGAAACAACATGAGTCACAGAGACAACTTGACAGCACAGTAGGGTTTTACAGAGAGAGAGAGAGAGAGAGAGAAGGGAGGAGGGGAGGAGAGAGGAGAGGAAAGGAGAGAGAGATATTTTCATTTCTATGGAATTGTTTCATGAAATTGTGGGTTGTGGGGGCTGGCAAATCTCCAAATCTGTAGGTCAGGAAGGAGGCTGGACATTTTGACAGGATTTTAATCTTAAGATAGAATTCTTTCTGTCTAGAAAACCTTGAGTTTTGCTCATAAGACCACCTCACTCCATCAAGTTTTTACCTAGAATCAACTGATGGTCAGTGTTACATTAATCCCTCCATAGCGGTACCAGAATATCAGAACATTGACCCAATTTCTGGTGAAACAGTAAACACAGTTTCAGCACCATAGCGTCTCCAAGTCATCACAGACCCAATTGTCAGAGTTTGGGTGGAGTTGGAGGAGGAAGATAGGCCGAGAAGGAGTGCAGCGGCTTTAGACATGTCAGGTTCGGGGGATCTTTATGCAGCATCCAGGGCTAAGTGTGTTCTGCAGACTGAGTGGAGAATGCTGCTTTCTCAGCCAATAGGTCTCTTACTGTTTCAATTAAAGAGCAAAACATCATTCTTCATACTTTGGCCATGTTGTCAGGTGACATGAGTCTTTAAAAAAAGACATCAGGCTTGGAAAAATGGGGAGTTGGAGAAGGAGAAGACTCTCAACAAGTTGGATTGATACAGGGACTGCCAAAACAGACCTGAGCATAGTAGAAATAGTGAGATTGATGCAGGATAGGGCAACGTTCCCATCTCTTGTTGATTAAGTAGTTACGAATCTTAGTTAACTCAATAGCACCCAACAGCAATCCTTTATGTGAAGCAACACAGCACTTTGTATACACTGTCATGTGCCCGCCTTCGAGGCTTCAGCCTCCCTGGGACTGGCTCTTTGGTGATTGTCCCCAGAGCCACTTTCCTTCCCCCCACCCCCTCAGCCTCCACACCCCTGCTAGCAACCCTTGCAATATTTAGTCACAAACGTCAACGGACAGCAGGGGCTTTTAGTGATAGTGTGGTGCTTTAAGAAACCTTCTGACTGCCCGTTTTCCTTACAGGTGGAGACCATAGGAGATGCGTATATGGTGGTGGGGGGTGTGCCGGTACCAGTCAGAAGCCACGCTCAAAGAGTGGCGAATTTTGCCCTGGGGATGAGAATTTCTGCAAGAGAGGTTATGAATCCCGTGACAGGAGAACCCATCCAGGTAAAGAACTCAGAGCACCCTGCTTAATACTCACAAATGTCTCACCAAAGAGATGGAGAAGTCTACTTATTAATCAGTTTGGGAGGTTTAATGTTTATTAAGTCAGACGGTATCAAAGCTAGGTGTCAGAATCATGCTTGGAAGGGGTCACTGCAGGAGAGGAAGACGCTAGATGAGACGCGTTGACATGGTGACTGTGGCAACAGGGGCAGAGTGTCAGAGATGGAGAGGTTGGCTCAGTGCAGGGTTCAGAGCTAGTCACAAAGTCTCTGTGAGTCATAGTTGACTTGAAGGCACAAACAAGTCAGTTGGACCACTTGCCTTGACTCTTCTCTTTCTTGCATGCATTTGAAAGCAACAAAGTCTGGAGAATCAAGTCCATGCTGGGGGTACCTTGGAAGAAAGGGTTGGCAATCTATTCCCACCCTCTCCTCCTGAATCAACTCAATTCTACCCTGATACAGCAGGAGTCAAAGTCAGAATAACTCCACACCAGACGGTTGAGTGGAGGTGATGTTAGGGGTGTGGCTTTTGACCTCTCAGATTTCAGGGGAGCTGTGTGGAGGTCCCCCGTTTCCCATGGGCAGCTGAATGCTTCATTTGTCCACCACTCACAATAGGACAGAGTCAGTCCCTCCATTTACTAAGGCTCGATTCTTTTTGGAAGCCTGGTGGGCTTTTTGTTTATTTGTTTAAAAACAATCCCATTTTTCTGTTCAAACGTTTCAACAAGTGTCTAAGTTTTACTCTATAGCCAACTTTTCCCCCTTTAATGAAAGTGTGCATTATCCCACCTGCTGTCTGACAAGTTCAGAACTCAGGCTGAGGTGTAAAAATGCCTGGAGCCCATGGGCCAGACACCATGGGTGAGAAGATACCAGAATAGCCTTCCTTCCGCCATGGGCCTGCAGCCCAGACGTCTGCTTCCTTTCTCCCAGGAAGCCGCTCTTCCAAGCATTGGAGTTTGCTTGCACTGTCTAGGTTGGGCAACGTGGAGGTGTAAAGAAAGTGTCCTCCTCTGGGATCCTGCTGGGGTTAGAGTTACCGCTCCTTCAATCTAGAACTCCCACACCCTGTGTTGTATCAGTCAAAAAAATAACATGAATTAATAGACTAAACGACAATAAAGCCAATTGTGAGGTGGAATATGATTTTTCCAAATTAGAGCTCCCTGCGAGGAGAACCAGGATATATGTGCATCTCACCGCGACCACAGTGATGGAGAAGCTGAGAAGTAGTGCAGATCCTAGCCTGCCTAGTTACAATCTAAGCCAAGCAACAGTGTCCAAAAAGCTTGTCTAAAAACAAATCAGAATAAGGCAGTGGTTGTTCAGTGGTAGACTTCTCACAGTCCATGTGAAAGGTCTGGGTTCGATTCCAGGCCGGTGTATCTCGAGCATATCCTCAGTGTGTCTAACAGTGGAGGCGTGTGCGTGCCTCTATGATGCTGAACAGGCTTCAGCAAAACTTCCAGATGAAGGTGAAGTAGGAGGAAAGGTCTGGTGATCTACGTCAGAAAAGAAGCGAATGAGATGGTAGGGAGACAGAATCAGGATGGAAAGCAATGAGGAGGTAGTGAGATGGCCAAAAACAAGCAAAATATTTCCATTTCAAGATTCCAGTGTAAGTCACTGAAGGAGAAAGAATTGAAGAAACGTGATTACATCTATAGAAAGAATGTATGTTTATGCCTGTGTTTGTATCTATACACATCTACTCCTCATTTATCAACTGATGATCTGACATTTCGCATTGATGAAAAATCTATTTGGTGACTATTTTGTGCATTCGTGATGTACAATTGGCAGTAATAAATGCCAAGGTGCTAGGGAAGCATGGAGCTGGCTATGATGGTTTATGTTATGTGTCAACTTGCCCGAACTATGATTCTCAGCTTTTGGAAGTTATGTAAAGCAGTTTGACAGATGGATTGACGCAGTAACTATGCAATGGATCTGAGCGGGACAGAAATCGTGAGCATGCTGCAGGCTAAGGCAAGGTTCAGCTCTGTTGTTGCTCGGGGCACTATGAGTCATAGTTGACTTGATGACGCCTAACAGCAGCAACAACAACTTGGCAGTCATATCATACTATAATTCTCCACTTTGTGATATAATGTAGTCATGCTCCATTTTCACATAATGACCTGGTCTTTGGAACACAACTATGTTGATAAATAAGGGGCAGGAATATTTATTATATATATTTACATATAAATACTTCAAGTAAGAAAAAAAAGGGCTGGAATCCACTATGGGAAGCCAAATTTCATACCAAATATTATATGAAAAATCATATACTTATTCAGGAACCAAAGGAATCACAGAATTATAGGTTGGAATTTCTCTTTTGACAGATCACAGGAAATGAGCTGTTTCCTGCAGACAAGAGACAGCGAGGGTCTCCCTACTACGGAGGGAGTGTTAATATGTGTGAAATTGTTCCTTCCTGAGCTAAGCATCAAGTTGACAATAGAGAAAAATTCGGCTTCATTTACAAGAGAATTCTCTTTATGATTTGCTTCCGGATTCTCAATAAATACACAGAGAGGCGTGGCTTGTGGCTCTTCAGTTGATTCAAACTGCTGGCCCCCTGTTTTTTAAGATCTCTGTTTTATCTCATTCTTGGTGTTCTGTCTTGTTATTAACTATTAATATACTTTATCCTCAGTCTGCAACAATCCACTTACTGAAGAAGACAACAAAACAATGTGGGGGAAAAAGGCATAGCAACAAATATGAAAATAGTATTTTACCACTAAGAATGAAAGTTGTTGTTGTTGTTGTTATGTGCTGTTGAGTCACTTGTGGCTCATAGAGACCCTATATGTACAGCAGCTCTGAAGCCTGTCTTGTCCTGAGCCAGTCTCACTGACTCTGACACACACCAACCCCCATTGTTCTAGTCACTGTATCAATCTATCTCATCTGGGATCTTCCTCTCCTGTGCTGTTCCTCCATTCTTCTGAGCTTGATGTCTTTCTCCAAGGACCAGTCCCTTCTGGCCATGTACCCGAAGTATGTGAGACAAAGTTTCAAAATCCTAGCCTCCAAGGAGAAACTAGGTTTCACCCTCTCCAAGACAGACCTATTTATTTAGACCTACTTTGTTTAAGGGTAAAACTAAACAAGGAATTCCTGGATATTTTAATGATGGATTTAGCAAGAATACTGGAAAAGGTGTTAGCAATTCTAGCATAAAAGCCAGAGTAGGGATAGTATATACATGAATGGAATCCTAGTGACACTGTGGTTGAGGCTTTTTTTTTTGCTAACCAAAAGACTGGCAGTTTGAATCCACTAGCACGCCAAGATGCTAGCACAAAGAAGTTATGGTCTGTCTCTACAAAGATTCTAGCCTGGGAAATCCTCCAGGGAAGGTCTACTCTTGTTCTCCCAGATATCTGCTGTGTGTAGACTGGACGGCAATGGATTTGGATTTGTTTTTTAAACACACAGAAATGTGTTGAGCATCATTAGCCATCGGGGAAATGCAAATAAAAACTATAACGAGTTGACATTCCGTTTTCACTAGAAGTCAAAATGATGGTGAAGATGTGGAGAAACTGGAAAGAGTTCATTGCTGGTCAGCTCACCTCATTGCAGCCAAGGCGTAACTGACTCATAGCTGACCCACCACTGGGTTTCCAAGGCTATTTTGCACATAGGAGGAAAATGCCTCTTTTTCTCCCACACGGCCGTTAGGGGATCCAGACCACAAGAGAAGCATGGCCTGTAGATGTGCAACTCTCTGTGGACTAAGCTCCCAGAGCACCTTCTATTGTTGATAGAAATGTAAAATGACACAAAACCTTTGGGAAATTTTTAGGAGCTTATTTTATTTTTGGTAACATTAAATTCTAGGTCTCCCTTATGACCTAGAAATTCCACTTCTAGGTATTATTTACCTATGAAAAATGAAAACATATGTCCATTAAGGGATCTACCAGGCATGTCCATAGAAGCCTTATTTAAAATAGCTGGAAATCACTCAACTATTCTAGAAAAAGAGAATGCACAAACAAATTGTGGTGAGTTTTTACACTAGAATACTCTTCCACAGTGAGAGAAGGGGCCACTGACACCTGCAGCAGTATGGATGGACTCTCACAATGTACGCTGAATAAATGTAGCCAGACATAAAACAGGCCTTGTTACACAATTCTCTTTATGTGACACCCTAGAACAGGCAAATGGATCTTTAGTTCAAAGAAACAAGTGGTTAACTCTCAGGGGAAGGATGGAACTTGGAAAGGAACATAGGATGAATTTTGTGAGGTGATAGATTTCCTGTGCATCTTATTTTAGATGGTGGTTACAGGGATGTATGACCTTGTCAGAATTCATGGAGCTGAACAGTGAAGAAGTGTGTTTTGACTTGATGTAACTTTGCCTCAGTGCAAACAGAGAAGGCAAGAACATTGGAAGGTTTCTTTAGAGTGGTGTTCTCTCTGCAGATCAGAGTGGGGATCCACACAGGGCCTGTGCTGGCTGGTGTCGTGGGTGACAAGATGCCACGGTACTGTTTGTTTGGTGATACTGTGAACACAGCCTCGCGGATGGAAAGTCATGGGAAGCCAAATAAAGTCCACCTCAGCCCCACTGCCTACAGGTAATTTGTTCTTCCCATGGTCCCCTTTCTCTCCAGAACTTACAGAGTGCCCACGCAGACAAGGGTGAAGAGGTAGCCCTGGGGGTGGAGGAAATCATATGCTTTTCTTCCACACCACATTGTAAACAGACAGTGTGTCAGTCACATACATGATGAGCCTCTAAGATAATTTTCGCTTTCAGGGAGCATATGGGTGAGTTCAGGAGTTGCCAAATTATAACCCAAGGGCCAAATCCAGCCTGTGACTAGTGTTTGTAAATAAAGTTTTATTGGCACACAGCCATGCCTTTTTGTTTACAAATTGTGTCTGATTTGGTGATGCAACAGCAGTGTTGAGTAATTGTCAAAGAGACATGTTGGCCATAAAGTAAAAAAATATTTACTAGCTGGGTTTTCAGAATTTTATTGGCCCTTGGTTTAGTGGAAGAAATATTCAAAAAATAATTCTTTCAAATGTGTGACAAATACATATTCATAAGTACATATGCATAAAATATATGTGATAAAGATATGCAAGAAACTCAAGCCCTTGCTATAGGCCACATTCTGTTCTGGATTTTTTTGTATTGTCACTTTATTATTGTAAAAGCTCTATGGAGTTTGATTTCTTTTTTAATGCAAATAGATCCCATTATTGTCTCTATTTGCACAGCTTATTCTCTTATAATTTTGTGCCAATTACACATTAACTTACACATAAAACCAAGATTATTAGTTAGTCTTTTATATAAGGGTGAAATTTAGCCATGAATGGAGTGCTGCAAACATTGAAGAGACTTGGCTGTTAATTCAAGGATTCATGGTTCGATTCCATCTAGATGTACCTCAAAAAGAAGACCTGGTGGTCTATTATCAATAAGTCAGCCGTTAAAAACCCTGTGGAGCACAGCTCTGTCACTCATGGGGCCACCATGACTTGGAGTTGATCCTCTGACAACTGGTTTTTTTCATGGGCGCTCAGTGTGCCTGACCCCACCGAGGTGTGGAGCAGATGCCCAAGCTGACTCTTGATCAGTGCACTTGAGTTGAATTTCGCCAAGAATGGGGTATTGGATGTGTAAAGCAAGCAGAACAGATGGACATAGAATATGTGGTGAGAACGCCAAACAATTAGGCTTGGCTAGGGTGGAAAATAGGAGGCAGAAAGTGCTGAGAAAGCTGTGTGCGCCCCACTGAAGAGACAGGCTTTGCACTGCAGGTGAAGAAAAGCTGCCAGGGGTGTGAGGCTGGAGGAAAAAGCTTGGTTGGAGTCCTGTCTTACACGAAGCACTCTGAAGACCCAGCCAAGGACAGATTCAAGGGCAGGAAATTGTAAAGGGGAGACCGGGTGGGAAGTTAGCCTTATCCACCTGTTGGTGGTAGGTGTATAGTAACTGCTATAATCTTAGTAGTTGTTAGAAACAAGGATGAGAAAGAGGAAGGGGTCTCCATCCTGGTTGATGCCTGAATGGTGGCATCTCTACCTGAGACAAGAGGAGTGGCCAGGTCAGAGGGATAGATGGTGCATTCATTTGGTGCTGGGTTAAATTCCACGGCGCTTGGGAGTGTCTTGGCAGAGGCGTCACTGGGCGGAACAGTGCATTTTGGAATCGAGTGCCTTTTACAAACTATGACCAAGCAGCATACAACCTTGACCGGTGCCATCAAGTTGGCGCTGACTTGTGATGAGTCCGTGTGTGTCAGCATAGAACCAAGCTCCACAGGGTTCCCAGAAGCTGATGTTTGGAAGGAAATCACCATGCCTCTCTTTCAAGACACCCTGTGTGGATTCAAACCACCAACCTTTTGGTAAATAGCAGAATGCACTATGCATTTTTACTACCCAGCAACTGTAAGCAACATATAGGGAATAAACTGAGCCCTGGGATTGGCAAGATTACTGGTGTGTGCGCGCGCGCTTGTGTGTGTGTGTGTGTGTGTGTGTGTGTGAATGGTGGACACAAGACTCTTGGGGGGGTGCACATTGTGTGTTGGGTGCATGTGGTGTTGCTTGTTGTTGTTAGGTGCCGTTGAGTCTCATAGGACACATAGCAGCCCTGTGAACAATAGATTTGACCCCTGACCTGGCCTGTGCCATCCTCACAATCTCTGATGCACTCAAGTCCATTGCCACGGTGACTGTCAATCACCCTGGTTGAGGGTCTTCCTCTCCTTCGCCATCCCTTCCCCTTCCTGAACATCATGTCCCTCTCCTAGCAACATGCCCAAGTACAGAGGTGTAGGAGGCAGGAAAGAGCCTGGAGAGTTCAGGGTGGATGGTGTTTTTGTTTTGTTTTGTTTTTTTTATTATTTTTGTGTGCGTGTACCGTCAAATCAGATCTGACTTGTACAGGAGGAGATTGTCCCTCCTTCCCCGGCAGAGCAACTGGTGGATTCGAACCGTTCGCCTCTGGGATTATGGTTGCAGCTCCTTGCCACTAGGCCACCAGAGCTCCCCTCAGGGTGGATGGTTTTAAGTGGGAGGAGTTGAACAAAAATGTCAAGTGGCTAGTAAGGACTGGAAAGTATTCAGGTTTGGGGACATTACTGAAAGTGGGTATATAGATGGTGGAAGGGAAGACTGCTAGGGAGTGAAAACAGCACATGGTCAGTGAGACATTAGCTTCCCTTCACAATGGATGTGCCCCGAGTGAGCCAGCAGGCTGAGTGGACCACTGACCAGAAGGAGGGACGGTGCAGATGGACAGAAGCCCAGGCGAGGTGGAAGGGCTGGGTCAGGAGTGTGAACGGACACCCTTGGGTAGGAAGGTCTGATCATTCTCTGGGCTGGGGGCGGGAGGGCGAGTGTAGCCGTGGAGTAATCCATTGCAGGATTCCATCCAGTGACTGCAGTTTTGCAGTTGGACAGGGCCATGGGGCAGAAGACAAGGCAAGCAGCTGAGAGTGAGGAAGCAGCAGGGAAGGGACAGGAACGTGGCAAAGCTGGCCAAGGACAGGTGAAGGCGTGGTGGGATGCCGAGGCCCCTCAGAACCAGGTGGCCCCGGGCTTGCAGGCACTGTTCTGTGGTATTTTACCCACATCATTCAGCTGTCAGTATGGTAATAAAAAAACACACAAAGGCAGTGTGCAGCGATCCCATAGCAAGTGGCTTTGCATGGTGCCCTATACTCTTCAGTGCCCTGGGGGCTGGAGACCATGGCGAGGAAAGCTGAGGTAGCCAGGAGCATGTTGACAACCACAGGGCTCACTGTGTGCTTGCTGGAAGATGGGAAGAAAGGTGCAGATAGTCAAGGAGCCTGTTGTTTCTGAATTATGTGGTGAGGCTCACACACGCATTAATGGCACAGGGTGGAATGCGAAAGTGACGTGTATGAGGAAACCTTGGAGGGAGGAACGGGGTGAAGGCCTGCTCCCCTGGGTCCCCTTCTGCCTTTGGCTTCCTGCTCACAGTGTGTGAGGTTCATGCCTTCCTCCTCTCTCCGCCACACTCCCCTGCGGGCAATAACTAAATAAGCCTGGACCTGCACCCCTGACTTCTCCTCTCTCATCACTCCGGTGGCCAAGCACCTTTGCTGGCTAGCACCTTTCTTCCTCTGTGCAGAGCCCTGGAAAACCAAGGCTTCGAAATAATTGAGAGGGGCGAGATCGACGTGAAGGGGAAAGGGAAAATGACCACGTACTTTCTGATCCAGAACTTGAAGGCCACGGAGGATGAGATCATGGGGAGGCCTGGAGACCTGGATCACGAGGGTAAGCACAGGAGAAGCTGTCTCATCAGCACTGGATATGTGTGAACCATCTGGACATCAGACACAGTGTTGTCAGCCTAGGCATCGTCCCCACTTAGCGTCAAGCTACTACTTTCTCTTTGCTTAAAAAAAAACCAAACCCCAAAACATTCTTGTCAACATTGAGCCCACTCTGACTCATGGTGACCCGTGTTAGGGTAGAATTTATGTTCAGAGGATGAATTTTTAGGAATCAATTGCCAGGCCTTTCTTCCGAGGTGCCTCTTAGTAGACATGAACCTCCAACATTTCACTTTGCACTTGAGTGCACTGACATTCTGTCTCGAGTATGTTGCTCATAACACTCTTTTTCATGTACTGGATATTATGGTGCTTCAGATTTTCAGATGCTGAGTTGGGTTGATGGACCTAGACTGAAGGGTTCTTGATGGATTGATTTCCAGGGTTCTTCTCTTTTCAAGAAAGACGTTCCCCTCATCAACTCCTCCTAATCTGGGGTAGATTTCTGAACACCCACTCTGGCTTCACCTTCAGACAAGGCTTCAAGAGGGGCTTTGCTTCCGTACCAGATGACTCACATTCCTCACCTTGCCCTGGCCTCCCACTCCCATTCTGGTGCCCCCCTGCCCCACGTGTGTGCCAGATCAGAACTGTATCCCTTAGAGTATGAACCCATCACCTGGACCAGCCCTCCGCCCCATCGAGGGCTAAGGAATCTTCCCGGGGACCTCACAGCCAGGCTGCACCTCTCCAAGCTGATGATAGCGGAGGAAAGACACTGGAACACGACCGTGTGTGTTGTAGTCCTAGGATGGTCAGCAGTAAAGTTGTTGTGTGTTATCAAGTTAGAACCGACTCATAGCTGACCCTCTGGCGGGTGTTCAGAGGCAGTAAATCACGTTACTGGGGAGTGCTCATCCTTGTCCCTTGAGGCAGCTGGTGGATTAGAACTGTGTGCCTTCAGGATTGCAGTGTGGTTTCTTAGCACTCAGAGATGTCTCAGAAGAAAGGTCTGGTGGTCTGTTTCCAGAATGGCACAACCTTGAAAAGCCTATGAAGCACATTTCTGCTCTATGATACATGGGTCAGAATTGACTCCAGAACAACTGCGTTGTTATTGTATTTTGGTTTTATTTTTTTTGTATTTTGTATTCCAATGTTGTTGGCTGCTGTAGGGTCGGCACCTGACTCGTGGTGACCCTGTGCTTACAGAATGAACACTGTCCAGCCCCACATTATCCCATGATCAGTTATGGATTGGATTGCTGTGGTCTGTAGAGTTTTCGCTGACTGAGTTTTGGAAGCGGTTCACCAGGCCTTTCTTCCTAGTCTTAGTCTGGAAACTCTACTGACACCTGTTCAGAAAACACTTTTCCATATTTACTTCCTCCCTCCCAGAGGCCACACCCCTTGGCTTTTAGGGGTGATTTGTGGGAAGGGGCAGGAGGAAGAGCCAGTATCTGAGCTTCAGGTGAGAGTGGCAGCTGGTTAGTCCCCACCCACATCCCATTTCTGGGAGAAAGAATGATGGAGTCCAGGCCAGCTCTTCTTTAACCTGTCCTCCCTTTCTCCCCCTCAGTGATACAAATAGTTAACTTGCTCAGCTGCTAGCTCAAAGGTTGGAGGTTCTCATTAACGCTGAGGTGCCTTGGAAGAAAGACCTGAAAATCTCGATCCAAATCTCAATCCAAAAATTCAGTCACTGAAAATCCTGTGGAGTTGGCTCTTCCCAGGCACACACGGGCTGTCATGAGCCAGAGGCCAGCAGATGATAATGACGCTTAGGTTCTCAAAAGCAGGTGGGAACCTTGTCCACTTCTCTGGGCTCGTCAGTTCCTGGTGTGCTTCATGCTTTGATAAGCTCATAGTGATCTCTACATCTTGAACAATGAATGCAGAGGAGAGGAACATGCCATTAGCCAGGATACATTTGGTGTGGAGACTTGACTACACTGAGTAGATGCTAGCTTTTAAGTTTTATTAATTTAAAGGGTCAGATTATGATGTCTACAGAATGTGGATGTGCTCTATGTGGGAAGTTTTATAAAATGCAAATAAGATGTTGGTGGATTTGGTATGATGAGCAGTTTAATATTTGTGGCAGGTAGAAGCATGGTGTTAGGATCGGTGGACGATCTATCAACAATCTGCGTTATGCAGATGACACAACCCTGCTCGCTGAAACTGAGGAGGACCTCATGCACTTAC